CATTGACTTTTGGTGTGGGAGGTCACGCTTTCCATAGCAAAGCCATCGAAACCCAGGGCACCCTGGAGGCAAGCAGGGTGTTTCTTGGCACGGGTCTCCTCTGTAGCATGTGGGAACCCCGACATAAAAAGCGGATGGAGCACAGGCGGCATTCGAAACGAGGCTCTCGCCTTGGCGCCGCGGACACTCTTCTCAAAAATCTGACAGTTATAAATTGTATGGACGATGGCGCACGCAGGTTATCAAAACGGGGCTCTCACCTGGGCGCCGCGCACAATCTTCTACATATCTGACAGCACGAAGGATGGACCACACAGGTTTTCCAACTGGGGGCCTCACCTCGGCGCCGCGCACATCTCTTCTTGCACATCCAGCAGCTGCATGGATTGAGCACAAGTCGTTTTCAGCATGGGAACCCTGGCCTCTCTCTCTCACACACAGCTGTCTTTCACAGTTCCACTGTTGCACGGATGGAGCGCACATCGTTTTCAGAACTGGGCCCACTCCTTTTCGGTCTGGCTGGAGTTCCCTGCCACAAGCGAGCAGAGAATCGGAGCACATCCACCAGCAACGAAGGCATCCCTGGATCCCTGGGGCGCGATCCCTTCGAGGGGCAGTCGCACGGATGCGCCCCCGCGCGGGGCGCCCGCGAAGAAGCGCCCCGCATCCACGGGGTCGCGGCCCGGGGGCCCAGCCCGCGAGGCCATGGATATGGACATGCGTGCCGTACACGATGCACTGATGGGGAGGAGGGCGATGGTGGCGCGCGAAGAGAGAGAGAGAGAGAGAGAGAGAGACAGAGAGAGAGAGAGAAAGAGAGAGAGATAAAAAAGGGAGAGAGCGAGAGAGAGAGAGAGAGAGCGAGGGAGGTGGCGCGCGAAAAGAGAGAGAGAGAGAGAGAGAAAAAAAAAAAAAGAGAGAGAGAGAGAGAGAAAACAAAAAAAAAAAAAAAAAAAAAACGTCGACGCACATCTTTCTCCGCCTGGCCTGCAGCCGGGCGTACTCCTGCTCCCGCGACGCCCGCAGCTTCCCCTCGCGCTCCGCCTCGGCCTCCAGGCAGGATGAGCCCAGAATCGAATCGATGAGTCGGATCGGCGATCGCCATGAATCGGATCGGCGGACATCGGCAGCCGAGTCGGGAGAAGTCGAGTCGGCAGACATGCTAGTAGGCCTCCACTGAGAAATCGGAATCGAAATCGAAATCGGAATCGAAATCGAAACCCGAAATCGAGTCGAATCGGAATCGGAATCCAGCGAAATCGAATTGGGTCGAATCGGGGGGGTCGAAAGGAGCACTGCCTTCAGGTCGAGGATCTGCGCCTCCGAGTCCTGCAGCAGAAGCTCGCTCTCGCGCTCGAGGCCGCTCGCGTAGCGCCGCAGCGACTGCACGGCGGCACTGTGCGCCAGTCTGTTCGGGGGGGCGGTGGTAGAGGCTTTCTAGATAGGGTCCGAGTAGATGAGGTCGGAGGATCTCGCCGCATCGCCGATACATCGGCGATGCATCGGCGATGCACCGGCGATGCATCGGCGGCGATGCATCGGCGACGTCGGCAGTTGGGAAACATGATCTCAACATCGAGCCGCATCGCCGACCGACCCCATCCACTCGGACCCCATCCAGGAGGTCCAGAGGTGGGGCACCGCGCTCGCAGACCTTCCCCCTCCCCAGACGTCCCGAAGCTCGCTTTTCCAGGGCACGGCCCCCCCGACCCTCTCGAACCCTACCTATCGGCGGCGAGCCCAGGGGGGAAGTGAGAAGGGGCGGGCCTTCTCGGAAGGCTCGGAAGGTGTGGAAGTCCCCCAGCTTTCCGAGAAGCTGTCCAAGCCTTCCCCGAAGACGCAGAAAACTGCTCAGAAGGCGCAAGAGCTTCTGAGAAGCCCCGCCGCCCACCCTCCGCACTGCCCCGGGCCCCACCCCTGTAGGAGGAGGAGCAGGAGGAGGAGGAGGAGGAGAAAGAGGAGGAGGAGAAGGAGGAGGAGGAGGAGGAGGAGGAGGAGGAGTTCCCCCCCCTCGCTCCCAAATCGCGACTCGAACATCCCGAGAGCCCCACACGGGCCCCCTGGAGACCCACAAACCAGGGAAAGCGCTGGTGTGTGAGAGGCAATGGCGGCCCAATGGGCCGCAGCGCCAGCGTGCAAGGGTGGGGCGTCCGGGGCAGTGCCCTGATGCCAGCCGCCAGGCGCCCCCTCGTCCTCGATCCTCGCTCCTCCCCTCCCTCCCTCGTGGCTCCCTCGACCCTCCTCGACCCTCCTCGATCCCCCCCTCCCTCGTCGATCCCTCTCGATCCTCCCCTCCCCCGAGCCTCAGGCCCGAGCGGTGGAGAGAACGCGCCCTCACCGCCCAGACCGCAGGCACTCTGCCCCCCGCGCGGTCGGCCTCGGGCACTGACCCGAGCGTGCCAGCGTCGCCCCAGCGGGCGCCGCCGTGACGGAGGAGGGCTGGCACAGACGCCAGCGCGCCCGCCGCTCCGAGGCGCGGCGCACCATCCGAGTGGCGCAGGGGACGCTGGCTCACCACCGTTCTTTCGAGATGCCGCGCTACAGCAACGGGAATAACCAGAACGCCCCGCGAAGGCCGCGCGGCCACTGGGAGTACGACTCCAAGCTCCCGAGCCTGGACTGGCGCTGCGGCTATGGAGCGCAACTGCCCGGGAAAGACAAGGACAAGGAGCCGAAGGGCAAGGGCAAGGACAAGGGCGGCGCGACCCTCGTCCAGTCCTTGGAGGATGTAGCCGCTCAGCTCCAGTCCCTCGTGGTGAAGCCAGAGGTGACGGGGCAGCTGGCGGCCGTGGTCACCTCGGTCTCCGCCGCTGTGGCGCCGCCCGTGCCCCAGAAGAGCATGAACCACGCACGCGGCGGACGCCGGCTGGGAGCTCGAGCAGGCGAGCCAGGCCTACGACAAGGCCCTCTCCCGGCGCGAGGAGGCGCGCGAGCGCCTGCCGAAGGTAGGAGCAGGAGCTCGCAGGCAGGGCGGCCGCGTTAGAGCAGCAGCAGAACCTAAAAGTGGAGCGGAGTCGTGGCAAGCCAGGCTCGTCGCAGAAGCCGTCACGCCTCCACGATATCTTGTCCATGACCTGATGAATCAAAAAAGAGCCCCTAACCCGTTTGAGAGGGGACCTAAGTTGGGAGTTCCAGAAACATTAGGGATAGGGGGCCTGTTCTGCAGATGTACCGGGCAAAACCGCCCAGATGTATTATCCCAACTGTGCAGACGGGGACCTCAGGCAGGCCACGTCGTCATCGTGTTATTAGGGTTAGGGGTCCTGTGGTTCCCAATGATGACCCCAGACACTCTGAAAAAAGGAAAACTGCAGGACTTGGACGCAGTCGTTGGCCGTCAACCTAGACGAGCTCGACGCAGGGGCGGTGGCGCAGGTCGAGGCAGCCGACGCGCAGATGCTCGCAGACTTCAAAGGGGAAAGCCACCGAGTTCGCGAACGCCTCGAAGACGCATTTAGGCGGCGCGCCCAGGGGGGAGTGAGAAGTGGCGGGCCTGCTCGGAGGGCTCGGAAGTTTCCCGGCCTTCTGAGAAGTCGTCTAAGCCGTCCCCGAAGACACACGCAAAAAACCCTCGGAAGGCGCGAGGCCTTCTGAAAAGTCCCGCCGCCTTCTGAGAAGGCCTTCTCCTTCTCATCTTCCCCCCCCCTCGCCCGCTGCCGAGCATCTGGACACCGCCAAGCAGCAGGCTGCGCAGGACGAGGAGGCTTGGATGCTCGTTCTGGGGACCTTCCTGGAGCCACTCGCTCCACTCGTCGAAGCTGCGTCCAACGTCCGTCGATTTGGGTCGACCCTGAGTCGAACCTGAGTCGAACCTGAGTCGAACTTGAGTCGAACTCGAGTCGAGCTTGAGTCGAACTGGGGTCGAACAGATCCGTCAGGTGGGCTCCGGGAAGGTCCCCCGAGCGAGCACCTGAGGAGGCCTCCCCCGCGGGCGGCCGAGGAGAGGCGGTGGCGGACGCGGGCGCCGCCCGGCCCGGCAGCCCACGCCGCCCCGCCCGGCGCAGCCCGCGCCCGAGGCGCAGGATCTCCGAGGAGGCCCAGCGGCGGAGCCGCCGGGCAGCGGAGCGCGGCAGCAGCCGCCTCCTAACAGCGAGCAAGCAAGAGAGAACCCCGAACCCCTCGGGAGGGGGCCCGGGTCAGGAGGGCCAGGAGCATCAGGGATAGGGGGTCTTCTCTAGACGAGTGCGCTCCACTACTCGCAAAGTAGCTATTCGCAGATGGCCCGGATCCGCCGTGGGGGATCTGCGGTAGAGTAAATCGAGGAAGACAGGAGTTGTGTCGGACGTTTGCGAGTAGGCACTTTGCGAGTAGTGAAACGCGCTCGTTGATTCTCTGCAGCTGTATCGAAGCACGCAGCCCAGATGTAAGATCCCTAGGTGCAAAAAGACGGGGGCCTCGGTGAGGCCGCGCCTTCGTCGTGTTATCTTAGGGTGGGCGTTCCCTCTCGATCCCCGAGGATCCAGGGAGGCGCAGGCGGAGCAGGCGAAGGAGCTCGCGCAGCAGCGAGCGACTTCTGGAGCAGGAGAGGCAGGAGGCAGGCCAGAGGCCTGCCGACGCCTCCTGCCGGTCCCGCAGGTCGGTACGCGACGGCCCAGCGGAGCGTCCGCTCCGACAGGTCGTCATCGGCAGCAGGAGGTCCTGGGGAAAGAAGGCGTCCAAGGTCGTCAAGGAGTCCCTCGGCAACAGCCTGTACGAGGCGCACGTGCTCCCTCCAAGAGACGCACATCAAGCACGATGGCATCGAGTCCGTCAAGCGTGACCTCGGAGGCTGGGGCATCCGCACTTGCCTTCCAGCGTCTCGCCGTGGCGAAAACTCCGAAAAAGGTTCGCGAGGCGGGGTGCTTGTTGGGATCACATCTCGACAGCGGAACCGTTTTTTACAGAGAGCTTGCTCTTCATAACTGTGCCTCGCAGGCCACCGCAATAGCATCTGCCTGTTGCCGCACTTTCAGCTTCGCGAATTGGATGCCCATGACATGGTTTCTGAAAGGACTCAGCTTGACGTTAGTGAGCCTGTACACAGAGGGTACGAATTTCTTCACTGGGAATAATGCCGCGACTTTGGCCTCCACGGGAACATTCCTCGAGACCACACTTCACCCGTTCATCGTTGCTGGAGCTTTCAACGCATCCCCAGAGCAGTGCTGGAAATCAACTTAGCCCCACGCCGCCTTCGAGAAACCGGAGCCCCTCGCCGAGTCTGCCGGTGCCAGTGCGGAGCACACCCCGTGCTTCTGGCTCAGGGGCCTCCCGCCCAGAGCCTGGACCGCGCCTCCTCCTCCTCCTCCTCCTCCTCCTCCTCCTCCTCCTCCTCCTCCTCCTCTGCTCCTCCTCCTCCTCCCTCCTCCTCCTCCTCCTCCTCCTCCTCCTCCTCCTCCTCCTCCTCCTCCTCCTCCTCCCCCTCCTCCCCCTCCTCCAGTACTCGGAGGAGCGCTTCGGGGATCTGGACAATGGAATGGGCCCCTCGAGGCTCCGCACGACCAGGCCCTGGAGGTATGCGGCGGCGGCGGAGCCAGACGCTGCCAGGATCCGCCGCCGTGGCTGGGCCCGGGCAGCGCTCGACGTGACGGGCCCCGAGGAGCCTGGCAGCCGCGGCGGTTGTCTCTCGCCGTTGGCTGTGACGCGCCAAACCAACAGCAGAGCGGAGTGCGTCGGCCCTGCTCGACACCCGTGGGCGGCTGCGCTTCTGGAGTAGATCGGAGGTGTTGCTCAAGACGCAGCGCAGAGCTAGGCACATGAGGCGAGCCAGCTGCAGCACCATGAGTGACTTCTGGGTGGAGATCCACGAAGCCCTGATTGCCCATGACGACAACAAAGTCGAGATGCGCTGGCTCAACAGTCTCATGTCCTTGCAGGATGCTGAAAGTAAAGGAGTCCCGTTCCATGTGTGGTGTGGCACTGAAGCTGCCGACGATCTCGCGAGAAAAAAAAGAGCAGATCTCCAGCGAAGCCCTCCTGCTCGGTCTGATTGTTATAAGTGGAATATCGCCATATCCGCCAAAGTGAGAACTCGCACTGCCCGTGCTTCTTTGAATGCTTGTCATTCGGAGGCCAAGGCTCCGCAACCGTCCCAGGTGAAGAGAGCTGAAAGGAGGTCCAGTCCCGATGTGCTTGCCCAGGCCCCGGCTAATGCAAAAAACACCTTGTGCCTTTTTGAATACGCAATGGAGCTGGTTAGAGTATAGAAGGTCAGTCTGCAGAACTGTTGCAATGAATCATATAAATATATAGCTGTCACGTGACTGCCCTGCCCCCCCCCCCCCCCCCAACCGCACCCCGCACCCTTTGAGTTGGCACGAGGAGAGCACACGCGTCCTTTTGTCATATAGGGCATGTGAGTTATTCGGAAGCCGCGCGTTGGAAGGTCGAGGTCATTTAAGGGGTCGTGCAGAAGAGTGTACATGTAGAGACGGAGAGCTCGCATCAAAGATGGGGGCGTGGGTGGTTATCACGCGTAACGAACGGCCGCTCGCTGAGGTAAGTGGCAGGGGGTGCCAAACTGGTGCGCCCGCTCCTGGCGGATGCCTGCGGGGCCCGCGGGGCAGGGCTTGGGAGCCATGCCCATGCCGCATATGCCAGCATGAAGGCCCTCCGTGTAGAGGCCACTCTCGGAAGGCCTCTTGCCATCCCGACACACTCAGACTGGGAGAGTCGCCAGTAGAGGAGGGGCAGGGCGGGGAGCCAGACTGGCAAGGACGGGGGCGAGGCGCGAGACGGCAACTGCAGGCACGCAGGAAGGGTGCCTGGAGGGAGGCTCCGTGGAGGGCCTCCTCCTCCTCGTCCTCCTCCTCCTTCTCCACGTCCTCCTCCTCCTCCTCCTCCTCGTCCTCCTCCTCCTCCTCCTCTTCCTCCTCCTCCTCCTCCTCCTGGTCCGCCTGCTCCTCCTCCTCCTCCTCCTCCTCCTCCTACGCCTCCTCCTCCTCCTCCTCCTCCTCCTCCTCCTCCTCCTCCTTTCAGTGAACCCTTTCAGTGAGGGCTCTGTGCCGCGCCGACGGACGGCGCGGCATAGCCCGTCAGTCCGACGGCCTCAGGTGGGCGCCGAACTCGTCCTTCTCGGCCTACTTTGCGACGGACGCCCCTCCTTTGCTCGCGAGCTGAGGGGCGCCCGACCTTCTCTCGCCGCGAGGCAGCTCGGCTGAGCTGGCGGCCCCCGTATGTTACACGGGGGGCGGGCCGTGCCCCCCTTCGGCCCGAGGGCTGGGGACGGCCTCGCCGCGGCGCACGGTGCGCCGCCTCCTTCTCTTGGCGAGTCCCCCTTTCTGAAGGCGTTCGTGCCGGACTCCGTTTCAGAAGACCCTGCTCCTGTCCTCCTTTTGGGCGACCTCCATGCAATCACATCCTTCAGAGCTGTTGAGGACCCTGCTCCTGTCCTCCTTTCAGCCGTCATTGTGGTGGGTTCAGCACGCCGCGCTGCTGAGGACCCTGCTCCTGTCCTCCTTTCAGCGGGCTGGTCATGTCGGGGTGATGGTCGTCGCTGGTGGGGTGGATGTGCTAGGGTGGTTTGTCTTTGCAATGCCACGCAGCTGAGGACCTCCTGTCCTCCTTTCTGCGGGCATTCATGCCAGAGGTCGATTCTGAGGACCCTGATCCTGTCCTCCTTTTTCGACGTCTTCCAGGCATGCTCGCCAAGCCTCGCTGTTGAGGACCCTGATCCTGTCCTCCTTTCAGCAGGCTGCGTCATGGTTGCGTCGTGCCGCGCTGCTGAGGACCCTGCTCCTGTCCTCCTTTCAGCGGGCAGGTTGTGTCGAGGTGGTGGTAGTTGTTGGCGGGGTGATTGTGGGTGGGTGGGTGGTCGGTCGGGGGTGAGCCCCAGGCGTTGTGGTTGGTTGTCTTCCATGCCTGTAGGTAAGTCGTTGGGAGGTCGGATTGTTGCTGGGGTTGTGTTGTGGGTTATGGGCGCACTTGTGAGGCCTCCATGCACCGATTTCAAGTGGGGTTCGTGGCGGCTCCACCTCGTCCCGCTATGGCTAGGGGTCACGGTGCCCTCGGTGGGGGCGAACCCCAGGCCTGGTGCCTGCTGCTGTTGTCGGTGAGGGATGTCTCGGCTGCCCTCAGCTTCGCCCCGTGGGCGATCGGGCAAGCACCTCCTTCGCCAAGGGGATGGTGGGGGTGGCGAGCTAGGGCGGACCGCGGGGGCGCGGGTAGTGGTCGTCCTACCTCCTCCTCCTCCTCCTCCTCCTCCTCCTCCTCCTCCTCCTCCTCCTCCTCTCCTCCTCCTCCTCCTCCTCCTCCTCCTGCTGGGGGGGGGGCCGGGGGGGCCGCACCGAGAACGTTTCCCCAATGGTCAGCGCCTGGGAGCCGCGTCCAGGCCCTAGGACCATCCTCAAAATCCCACCAGCCCTCTGAGCGTAGGTGGTCTAGAGCGGTTTCTCGTCCAACCCCTCCCTCTTCCCCTTCGGGGAGGGGTTTACCCCTCCCCCTACCCCTCCTCCAAGAGGCTCCCAACAGACCCCCAAGAGGTCCCGAGAGGCTCCCCGGAGCATCCAAGACGCTCCAAGAGGCCCCCGGGACCGTCAAGAGGCCTACAAGACGCTCCAAGAGGCCTCCAAAAAGCTTCCCAGAGACATCCGAGGAGACTCTGAGAGGCAACTCGCCTGGGCATCTTTTCTCGATGGGCAGGTGGGGAGTGGGGATACGATGGCCGGTGGTGAGGCGTCAAGAGTTACTTTAGATGAAGAAGCGGGCCAGGGGACTTGAAAAGAATCGAGCGCGAGGCGGGGATCTATCCATACCCACCGCCTGGGAACCGATGTCCTGGGGATCCAGCGGGAGTGGAAATGGATATGTGTTGGCCCCCAGGGCCAGAATATGTCCATATCCACCGCGAGTGGAGCGTCGCAAACCTCGATCCTCCAGGTGGTGGTTATGTAGAAATCCTCACTTCGAATCGAAGGATCTGGAGCCCAAGAACCCCCAGAGATCTCTCGAGGTGATCCCTGCAATGTACGCCCCAGGAGGCCGCCAGGAGGCCTCCCCGGAGCCCAACGAGCCTCCAAACGAGCAACGGGTGTTCAAAAACGCCCATGGAATTGGACCCAAACCTCCGACGTCTTGATATTAGTTGAGACCTTTTGAGGGCGCGATGTTTGGTGCGCAATCACCAGAAACAATATGGTCAGGCACGAGACCGTGGAGCGTGGGTTGCGTACAAAATTGGCGGGGGCGGGGGCCAGAAATTTTCCCCCGAACCCAAATCCCCGACGTCTTGATAGTTCAGCCTTTTTCACAGGAAACGTCTTTTTGTTTCGGAAATGCGGCCCTGGAATCCACAAGCGGCCCTTTGAGACCAAAAAATGCCAAACACCTGCGCGTTGAGTCAGTTCAAGACGCTGGATTTCTCGGGCCCCGATGGCCTGATGGACCGATTGTCCACCACCACTACCATAGGTAGGACGGGGGAGGAGTAAGGATGGGGAGGTCCTCCTCCTCCTCCTCCTCCTCGTCCTCCTCCGCCTCCTCCTCCTTCCCCTTCGCTTTCTTCTCCTCCTTCCTCCTCCTCCTCATCCTCGTCTTCCTCTTCCTCCCCCTCCCTGTGCTACCTATGGCAGTGATGGTGGAACATCGGCCCATATTGTTGTCGGGCACGCCAGCCGGAAATTCATGCCGTGCCTGGCGCCCGAGGGAAAGCACCAGAGGCCGACATGTTGGACGCCCGAAATGGGTACGGAACTAATGGGCACGATGCCCAACAGCAGAAGTTGTCCAAAAACGGCAGCGGCCGCTGCCTCCTGTCTCAAATGGACAGCGTCCGCGGGTGCGTGGACACCGTCCCCTGTTCAAAATGCACGAAAACTGCCCTTGGGCATCGTACCAATTCTTTCCGTACCCATCTCGTTCGTGCCGAGACATCCGATATTAGGAATCCCGCTGGCATCGAACACAGGACGATGTGCAGGGAGAGGGCTCGGGGGGCCCGTTCGGCGTGCCCGTGATGGCCTTAGGTCGGGCATGTCCCCCTACAGGCGGATTTTGGGCGAAGAATTACAAGTAGACGAAAATA